GTACCCTACAAAACAGAGGACGCTAAATTAATGCTTTCAGCAGTTATTTTGTGCTTTTTAACGCAGCAAAAGATGACTTAAATATGAAAAAACTTGATACTCATGCAACCCAACAAACCCACGGCCATCGAAATACGGTATGACCGCCTCTTTTCAGACAGTTCAAGGTCGTTAAAACAAAAGGGCGGGCAGCTTGAGAACGCTCTGACGTTTTTTCCCGTGCCTGTCGGGCCGGCCAATAAGACCTTACGTTGAAGCCACATCACTGTCTATACTTACTCATCGTATCGTGACAATGAACAATGATACTTAGTACTGCTAAAGAACACATTTGTGCTGGGGATAGAATAATATATTTAACGTGAATAGTAATGTTACACATAAGAGCCATGCCATCTGATTGAATGAATGACTCCAAGTTCACCATTGCCGACCTTCTCCAAATGTTACATGTCGAATATACAACTTTTCAGTCATTATGTGCTTGGCTCCGAAGACAGTGTGGTTAGGAAACAGTGCCACTACAAGTATCCATCTGAATATACTGTCGCAATGAAGAAACTTATATATACAACGCAACATTCTAGCGAAACGTCTAAACTGATGCAGTACTACAAGTTTTCATAACGAAACGGGCACTTATAATACAAACACCTATTTTATTTTTAATTTTCACAAACAGTTACCCATTAAGATTATCGGTAAATCTCTCCATGGAACAACGAAGAAGACAAAAGTGAAAATTGTGCAAAAGTTTATTGATGCATCATTACCATAGGTACAGTAAGAGCAAAATTTGATTCAGAAAAATCATTTTACAAGTTGGATATATAGTTAAGTTAAAAATGCTACTACAAAGAACTCCTCATGGTAAACAGTTCCTGCCACGTCTCCACACTTTGCTATATCCCAATCCGTATTTTCTATCGTAAATAATACTACACAAAGACAAGCGTTAGATAAACTACAGTCTTACCTACTTGTTGATGATTCTTAAGTAAAAAATTGGTTTCCTTGGATCTGTACATACTGTTTGCTTCGTCTGGCTAGTCAAATTGTTGTTATTATGGAAGGTGTGAGTGTTATCTATCTTCCATAGACTGCGATGTCTAATAATATCATGAACTATACAGTTTATATTTCGTAATTGATCAAGCTTACCCGTAAGAGTTCATCCTCTTATGTATGCCAGTAGCATATGACTGCAAGGACACCGGCAGGTCAAAATTTATCCACCGTCCAGATTACATATGCTCGCAATGCTTTTTGATTCCAGGCAAGCAGAACAGGACGCCCTCGACCAAAATCTTCCCCTAAATTTGCCAAAACCGGACAAACGTTTCCCCAAAATAGGAGATTGGGAAATTACGAAGCAACAATCGATTCAACGTATGTACTGCAAGATAGATAGAGATAAACCAATGTTCTTCGTAATTGTTTTGTGGTTTTGCGGCAGCAAAAGACCACTTAAATATGAGAAAACCTGATATTCGTACAACCCAACGGACACCCAATGAAGTTACGAACATTGAAATACGGAATGACTGCCTTTTGCCAGGCCGTTCAAGGTCGCTGAAACGAAACGGCAGGCGACTTTGAGAAGATCTGACTCTTTTTACCGTGCTCTGTTTGTCTGTATCCCCTATATTATTTACTGATAATTCACTAAGTAGGTATTTTACTGCAAGAAGTCCAAAATGTTTGGAATCAGGACTGATGATTTTCGTAACTGGAGAACTGTTTAGTGATAAACTCGCTTACGCGAATAAATTAAAATAACACATTCCACTAAGAATGTGATATGCGCTTCCTATGAGAACAGATATAAGTATGTAACGGACTACTCAATAAAGATGTTCAAATGATGCGTTTAATCTACGATTTTCGTATTTTATAAAGCCACTTTGTGATTGGGCATAAAACAATGAATTGGTTTGCCATACTCGTGGTTTCGTTTACTACAGTAGTAGTGGCATTGAACGATGTTTTTTCCAGTATAAATAGCCTGTTCTATCTAGAAGTGTCAATAGTATCTAATGCAGACATGTTAAATGAGCATAATTGTGTAATACGATATCTAGTTGAGAATATAACCGTCAAGTGCATTAAATCAGTTCTATTGGTTAACTTGTACTCAGTTGTGTGGTTAATTTGATTGCCTTGTATATGATTCTTTCCAATACTCGTTTGTCTGGTTGCTTGTCTATATCTTTATTTGTTAGTCATAATTCACTACCATAGTGACCAAAAAATACTCAGGATATACTAATTGACATTTTGGGCAGTTTGTATTCACATCATTGCAATGCAGATTATAGCAATCAAATCTATTATTAGATTTATTTCACTACAATACAATTGCTGGATATTCTGTTTCCAGTGTTGTTTCTATATTCTGTATATATATGCTTGGTAGCATGTATATGTTTATCTACTTAAATGCATTTAACTTAATATTCTTCGAGTCAGTATATTGTTAGGTTCCAATGCTTCAAACATTTGTTGCATTTCGTACTACCTATCCGCCCTTACAAATCAACATATCTGAAATGAACCTGTCCAAAGTTCAACCAGATTTCAGAATTTTGTAACTACGCTTTAATTACCATGATCAGTCTACAGAGAAAATACAAATAAGGATCATTATTTCATTGGTATCCATCATTTTCATTATTAAAGAGTCAACACAGTACTAAACATTATTATCAGTATCATTTGTGTACACATAGTTTGAAAATCTTGTTTAAACTTTCACCGATAGTTTTAAAAACAAATAACTTTATATTAACTATCTACTCATCTTATAATATTTTTCTTCTTACTTATGAAGAGATCATAGATATCCATTAATCGAAATCTCTTCTTACACAATGACCCCAAAACTAATAATACTAGAAGTCAAGAATGTATTAATACATTATTAGATCTAAATTCAATGTCCCTTAGTGCATGGGATGAAGTGCATTTTAAAAAAAATACTAAATAAAATGTTCTTTGTAACATGTACTTTAATTTACAATATACCATTTTGCTTTGTTTATGTTGGATAAAAATACAATAAAGAGAATATCATCTAAAAGATAAATCGCTATAATATTTTTTTGGTGACTTAATGAGATAAATGATATTTAGTTTGTATAAGAAGTTTGGGTCATATGTCATTTGAGACCTAAAAAAACATGTTCCATTCATGTCAAAATATATTATTAATAATATATAATCATTTATTTTCTTAAAAGACATACATGTAAAGATTTATTTGTTGTTATCTGTTATGAATTCATTGTAAGAAAGTGATATTACAATATTTTGATCTGATCCATTACTTTAAACATGTATATTAATATATTTTAACAAAAAAGGTATTCAGTTTCCTAGTTCAAGTAGTAGTTTGTTCTGGAAGTTTTTAGAACATTTTATGTATATTATTATATTAGAATACTATTTATAAGAAAATGTGCATTCTTTTGTGGGTTATTTTAAGTTTCTTAGTAGTATGATATAAAAATAGTATTGGGCTAATACAGTTAAAGGATAATTAATGAACTCTATTATTTGTAGAATGATATTTCATTTCACAACATATAAAAATGGTTAAACTGGTTATTTGTATGAAAATAAAAGTTGTAAATATAAATGGGAAATTTTTCAAAATCTTACAGTCTATTACTTACATTATAATTAGTAGATTAGCAATTGGTAACATCGAATTTTTTCAACTAAACAGTCATTAAGAACCTCAAATAATGAATAGCTTTTACGTCCTAGCATTGGATTTCTCGAAAGTACACATTATTCATTCTCTTGAACTTGGGACCTCAGGACTTGTGACGAGTAATTAATCTTCAGACAGCTGAGATGAAAATCAATGGTTCATATTTTTAACTCTAGTCAATTTGGAATATTAGGTAACCATAATAGATTGTCATTGGTAATACAAAACTGATCTTCACTGCTTCCTGGTTTTCAATGGCTGTCCACTTAAAAATATTCAATGATGAAAACTACGAACTGAACAGTTTTTACAAATCTAATTTAGTATCAGCGCTAAACTTTAATTGTAGATCGACAGTAAGAAGTCAAAGCGGTTAATAAATAATTTACCTACTTTACCTATCACCTGGAAGTAATGGACCCAGATTTTCTGATACTTGACATTTCTCACAAAAGATTACCTGTGGTCACATGATAAGTAATGGGATTATAGCTCTTATCAAAGTGTTCCGTTCAATCTTTACTTCTGTCATATAAGACCAAGATTCTTTAACTAAATAATAAACATTAACAAAGTTCGTATTTAATCAGTCATTTGTGCTGATCAGATACTATCGGCAAATATTTATGCTCCAAAAACTGACCAGTTTTCACAGATGAGAAAGTTTGGCAGAAAAAAAGAAATCCCATTTATTTTTAAAAGGTATATCAATTAGGTTCGAATATCAGCTTGGTATTTATTACGGTTTCATTACGAATTATTAGAAATTATATGAAATACTTATGGGAAAAGGTTATCTAATAATGTCAAAATGTTTATTTACTGTTTATCTACATGAAAATAACTAGTGTTTATCCATGTAAATTACTGATATATTAGTTGAATCACCATCTACCTATTCTTCTTCCATACTAATTTCCGAGAATTATTAATGATTCAATAACATATTCCTCCCATAATAACATAACTTATAACTAATAATTATAGAAATAAAAATGTTTTGGATTTTACTTCCTTTTAGTAACTAAAGAATAATGGATTTTATGGAAAAAATTGTTTACTCCACCTTACTATTTATTAACAAAAATCTTGATTTTATGAAGAAGAAATTGCTTTAATTACATTGTTAGATAAATACTTGTTTTTTTCTCCTTCTGTTCTTTCCTTCATATACTTTCTTTTTTAAACAAATTCAGATTGGATTCATCCAATATCTTATCAGGTTAAATGTAAATAATTTATAAACCAATCGGGGATAAATTCATATATATATATATATATATACAAAAGAAGATGGCTCACACTTTCAATTTATAAATTAATAACTTTTGCCATCACTTGTCAAACTGAAATGAAGTAAGTCTTTAGTGTATAAAATTATAAGAACGATGATACCTGTCTACCTGTATTGAACTAAATAATGAAATATACTGATTAAATTATCTGTTAACGTATTCTTATTTAAACTAATTATTATAGTGTTTACATTACCCAAACTATTCTATAGCTTTAAATATCTTAGATATTATTGAAGTTCATTGAAAAGTTGTATTTTATGGTAACACTACATCTAATAATAAAATCTTACTGAATTGATTAAGTTTCATGATCTTTAGATTAAATCTAACAACCTATTTCAAGAATGATGCATTTCAAAGTTTGTTTTTAAAATTGTACTGATATGTTACCAGTCTTGTTATGTAAAGAAAAAAAAGTTTCGTTGCTTAAAATAATAATCCTCTGTAAATATTCATTTTAATCTGAAATTTATTCAAACAGCAATGTATTGAATAAGCTACTGTTACTTAATTATAATTAAAAATGTAAGGGATTATGTTTGGATAAAATTGAAAAATTAGCCACTTGTTTTGTGATCAATGATCTAAATTAACTGATAAATATGTCTTTATATGATTGATCCGTTTTGATCTCATAACCCAGAAATGTCAATCAATAATAATATTTTCACTATGAAATATAATATACAATATTGTGCATTACATTACTAATTTCGCATTGTTTAACGATAATCCTAGCTATCAAAATCATGTAACAAACCTTTTTAAATGAGACATAAACGTTTATTTATTAGCCCTGTATATTATAATGATAATAATGTCCTTTGACAAACCGAGAACATTACTTAATTACAGTAACAAAGTTCTTTGAGTCTATTTGATCAAGTGGCCTAAAACAATATTTAATCGAAGTTGGAAAGTCGATCAGATAATTTGAATAATAATTATTTAAAATTTACATAAATTTTCAGAATTAGGTGAGTAAAAATTAAACAATGAATGTAAAGTAGATAAAATGAAATTACAGTTAAGTAGAAATGGGATGAAATAATAATAATAATAATCATGATAATTGGAAAAGAGGTAATCAAAACTTCTCAGATCATTACAACAATGATAAATATTTAATAATGAGTCTCGAATAGGGTAACTCATGTACTATCATGTAACTTAAGTAATAGGATAAACAAGTAATACATCCATGTTGATTATATAGTAGACATATTAAACAAGACAAATCAATTTTTAAAAAAAGTGTATAATAGATTCTTACACAATAAATTATATTTCCTGGAAAAAAGAAACCTAGTCAAAAACTATGGACTTATCATTGGTATTGAATATATCAGACTAAAAACACAATAGTAAATAATGTATAAGCTATCAAAATAAAAACTTCTTTTAATATCATGTTGTGCAATCTGAACAATTAGGTTAAACTTTCTATTAATATTTATCAAAGCTTCATAATTTTTATTAAATTAATCATCGAAGGTAAATCTATTGTAATGGACAAGAATACAAGTGGAGATAACCAATTGTCTAAAACTACAACATATGGGATCCCCTGGTAAAATATGAAAACCGTACACTGAATACTTCATTTTCAAATTACCTTCATTTGTCCTTCATATTCTGTGTGATTCTTCCCTCTACAGTTCCTTTCTACTTTCTCTTCTATTCTTTTTAACTCGATCTTCTTAGCTTCCTGCTGTCAGGTTTTCCAACTACAACTGGTGTCATACACTATTTATGTTTATCGACGTAAGTAGCATACACCACAGTGTTTAAGTTAAAACTGATAAGTTTACTTAGTTAAATGAATATGTTCTTGTAAATGAAATAAAGTGTGAAATAAGATTTGTATTAAAACTATTGAAACGAGATTTTAAAAATTTTAAACAGTTTATATGATTAATTTATTCTTTTTTAATAATTTTAATGGTTGAGATCATGAGCCAATTGAAGCTAGACCACTATGGAAAACCTGGAAACACTGGATGGCCATTTCGTCCTATTGTGGGACTCCTCAACAGTGTGCACCATCACCCCACCTTGCTAGATTCGAACCCGGGACCTATTGGTCTCGCACTCGAGCGCTTAACCACTAGACTCCTGAGCCGGTCGGCATTCAACAGTGTTAATATCTAACTTCAACTAATCCACGAAATTGAGCGACACATCCACTATTGTCTTCAGTGAGTTACTATCCCACAACAGACTCGGTTACTATACAAAAACTGAGATTTTTCATAAACTATATAACCAGTAAATTACTATGAATACTTTATAAAAGTAGAAATGGAATTTTTCTGTAATATTTCTAGCATTTACTTTGGATAAAATTGAACAACAAAAAAGTCATAATTTGGATTATAGATAAACTGAACATAATTTTACTCATGATTATTGAATAACTTTGTAATAGCAGTTTGTAAGAATACCAAGTTTTTCAATGTGCTTTTTTTAAACATTAACTCCTCAAAAATTAGTTTTATTAATGTTAGTCAATGGGAAGAATGATCTTATTCGTGTCTGAACGAGGTAATCGTTTATTGTTTATTTTAGCAGTAGTTTGATTACATAATCCTGAGAACCGTCATGAAGTGTTAACATATTTAAACCACTTACTACTTACATAAGCATATCTAATTTATATTACATCATTTATCTATTAAAAGTAGTACTATCTCACATGGGGCGACAAAATAAGCAATTAGGCACTTTATAGAAATAGTTCCTTTTATATGTTAACTGTCAAATACACAGCTTTTAAACAGCAGAGAAAAACCGTGCGTAGTATTAAATCAGAAGAAATATAAATAGAAATGGAAAAATAACTAATATATTTGTAATATCCCAATGAATAGAAAAATTAAATTTTCTGACGTTTCGTGACTCAGTGTAAGCCACTTCTTCAGAGAATAAATAACTAAATCAAAATTATTCCAAGTTTAAATAGTACAAAGGAACAATGCAATGTGCAATCAATAAAAAACAGGTCTGAACAATCTGATGTCATGTCATTTCGGTCAAAGTGATTTATAAGCGACATGTATGCAAATTTGTGTGTGGGTGTGTGCAAGGTCAGGGATGAAAAATATGATCTTTGTGGTAAGAAAGGATAGAGTTTAATTTGTATGTACGATAATAGTATGAAATGTGAATGTTATCAGACATAGTAGCTTGGATAGACAGTCCAAGTCGGATGTATATTGAGGCCTTCTTTTCTATTGAGAGCAGTAGGATTAAGCATTATATAGAAAGCTTCAGCTACTCTCCTTTCTTTGTAGTTGGTAAATTCTTTTTGTAATATTTCGATGTTTTTTGAAATCGATTTGGTGGTTGTTGAAAATGGCGTGAGCTGATATTGCCGATTTCATTTGAGGTCTATCCAGTTCTACGGGATTATTAGGTGGTTTCTTTGCGTATGTAATATGTTCTTTGGCTCTAGTGGAGATTTCTCAAAACGACTCTCTAATATAGAAGGCATCACAATCGACATATCCTAATTTATAGATGCAGTTCTGTGTTGACATAAATGGGAGTTTTTCTTTTAAGCGAACTAAAGTATTTCAAAGTGTGTTCGTTGTTTTTTAATATACTTTAATTCTGTGTTGTGTGTTAACTTTTAGGACTCCAACTGATTAGTCTCCTAGTAGTATATATGCATCCTGTGTGGATTATCTTGATACTTCCTTAAGTCTCAAGAATTATAAGCAGAGATGAATAGTAGCTCACAAGCTTCAAACAGGAAGAATCGCGAGTCTTGGATTTATCTACTAGCCACTATCCATCTCTGCTCATAAATCAATTTTCATTACTATGAAAAGATTTATTAAGTCATTTAGATGATAATTTTGAAAAGATAAGCTTCTTCAAAAAATTTTTAACTTAAACTTTTGGTCTATAAACACAATTATTCTTAATTTCACAAATCGACCATTGAAAATATATAAATTATCTTTTCTTTTAAATTGTAACAGGATGGTAAAAAGAATACGAGACTATTAAAAAAAGTAAATACTTGATGTCACCCTCTAAAATTATTTACTGAATTTGATTAACCAGTTTGTAATATGTCACTTACTCTCGCAAGCAGTATCGTAGATGTGCACTGTTGAGGAGTCCTAAAATAGGACGAAACGGCCGTCCAGTGCTTCCAGGTTTTCAGTGGTAGTCTAACATCAATCGATTCATGATTTCAACCAAATTCTCTCAGATAGTTATAATGATTCCCCAAAAAAGAATAAAAGTAAAATAATGTCTATTTTTAGATATACGATTCAGTATTTATTTTATTCATACTCTCATGAGAATGCAAACTATCTGTTTCTAATTCTTTTTACAATCATTGAAATTATTCAATTGGGATTTTATTGAATTCACTAAGTGAATAAAAATAATAAATGATATCTAATAGTCTAGTTTATGCAATTTTATTAAAACAATTAAAATTATCTATAAGTATCTTAGAGACAATTTAATATGATGGATATTTTAAGGTTGGGGATAATTCATCCATTTCCTTATTTGGTATTAACCATTTGATAAATAAAAATGAAACTTAAAAGAATAATCATTTGTAGTGTTTTTTTTGGATGATAGCCATAATATTTGTAATATTTAATGTTCCTTTAAGTATTTTGTTTGGTAAAAGTCAACACGTTGAATTAAATAAAGTATGAGTAACATTGTACATTTAGGTATTGCATATGGTAAGTCTACTTTTACAATGTTTTGAAATTTAAATTGTTACTGAATACACTAAGAGTAACGAAAGTTAATATGGTTTCACAGTAGTGACTATCTAGATACTTACATTCACATCGGTTATACTGTGGTGTGTGCTACTGATGCCGATAGATAAAAGTAATATGTATCATCTATTGGGAGTGAAATACCTGAAGACAGAAGGTTAAGAAGATTAAAGAAAAGAGAAAGAGAACAATGAATAATTGGTGTAAAGACGAAAGGACAGTGAAGTCTGAGACGATTGAATAATATTTTGCAAATGAAGTATTTACTGTATGGTTCTCATATTTTACTAAGATGTTC